AGATGGGGGATGGAGATAGCAGGTGGGGGATGGAAGATGGGAGATGGGAGATGGGAGATTGGGGATGGAAGATGGGAGATGGGAGATGGGAGATTGGGGATGGGAGATGCGAGATGGGAGATGGGAGATGGGGGATGGAGATAGCCGGGTGGGGATGGGAGATGGGAGATGGGAATCATAGCAGATGGTGTAAGAGCTGTTCAACGCGGGGAAACGGAAATATCTACGGGAAACACGTGGAAGCGAGTAATACAGGAGCGCTGCGGTGCCCTGTGGTACTCACCACACTGATGGCCTGAATCGTCGTCTCGTCTCTGCTGGCAGCGATGCAGCCATCTTTCGTAGACCCGCCATCACACATGCCGGCAAACGCTGCCATGCTCCTGCAAAAACATGCGCACAAGTTACTCACGCGATCACCTTAGCATCCACTGCTTACCTGTCGTCGTTAAGACATGAAGCCTTTGAATAACGCTGACAGAAACACAACTGATGAACGGCATTTCCGGTCAGACATGGCTGATGACATTGCAGCATCCCCACAATCTCGAGTAGAAAAGCTTTCGACGGATTCACAGGGGAATCATTCCATTCTATTGATACACAGAGGTGGGATATGCGAGGTGGAGAATGAAGGAGGATATAAGAGTTAAGAGGGTAGGTAGTCAAACCCTGAAAAGCTACAGAAAGGCAAGGTGTGGGAGTGCAAGAGGTGGGGAACCTGCCTTAGCAGGTCAAGGGCATGGTAGGGAGATGTGAAGGTCGCACGGATGCTATACCTTGCCGCACGCAGATACATGATAAGGTTGCCGTCGGTGATGCCCGGCGACCACACCAGATCCTCCCGGTCCTCACAGTCCTCTGGCATGTCACGTGGCTTCGTCTGCGGCCTGCACTCGGGTAACTCCACCTAGTGGCAGAAAATACAAACAGACGTATAGTTAGTGTATTCTTGGCTGCATTCCTGCTGTTAGTCTGCTATGGCAACGGAAAGTAGGTATCATGGAACACCGCGTTTAGTTTATGCATCGTACAAAAGACCTTCGTAGATGTGTAAAATAAGAGCCTAGATGGTAGAGTTGGCCGGGAGCTTGGTGGAAACTGATACTGAATACGCCATATTTTTCGCGTATGGATATTTTCGCTAATTCAGACTTGACGGACAATTTCGCGAGTGGTTAATTTCGCAGTCGGTGAATTATGAATTATTCGGTATTAATTACTCGCGTGTTGCTGTTTTTGCGGTCAGGGACGCATTCGCGAAATTCGCGAAAATTAAACCACCGCGTATACAGTACCTGGTAGCTGGGACCGACTCGAATCTCTCCCATATGAGACATTAGTCGCCGTGTCTCCGGGTTGTAAGTGAGTACGTAGAAGAACGTGTCTTTCTTTGGACTGAAGTCTTTGGTTGCCTTTGAGAAGTCTTTGTAGTGCACGACGAAGCACTTTCCCCTGCAAAAATCACGACTCGGTTAATAACTAAAAATAAAAATAAA